AAATCAACAGATCTAGATTTATACGATAATTATCAATTACTGTTTTTAATAGAAAAAGAAACTATACTAAATAATAAATATAGTGGAATTTCAAAAAAGTAAAAATGTAAACAAATTCAAACTACGGAGTACAGTATAATTTTATAAAAAAATCAATCCTGAAAAAAGCTCTCATTACTATATTTATAATCGATAAGTTTTAATAGCATTGTATTTAAATATTAACTCAAGTTCATCTTTAGATAATCCAGCATCATTTTCTCCAATATCACGATAAACATTAACAAGTTCTTCATATGTTATATTTAATTTATCCACTGGAAAATTCGATCCAAACATACAACGTTTTGGTGTAAATAAACGTAGACATTCAAGAATATATGGTGCCAAAATTTCTTTTGACCATGCATGATTAAACATAACTAATCCACTTAATTTACAAATAACATTTGATTGTTCAGCCATATGTCTCATACCTTCTTTCCAACTATTAAAATCATTTTTACCATCAACAGGTAAACCACAATGATCAAGAATAAGTATGGCATTAGGATATTGTCGAGCTATTTTTGATGCATCAATCATTTGTGAAGGATATACATGAAAATCAAATGATAATGAATATGATGTAAGCAATTGAAAACCTTCAAGCCATGTTTTATCAGTTAAATAATCGCTTCGATCAATCATCGATAAACGAGAATCTTTTGTTGACCAATTAAGTAATTGACGAATACCTTTAACACGTGGATATTCATGTGTGTACGTTTCAAGTAATTTTGATAATTCTGATGATGCTAAATTAGCATGTGCAACAATACCATGTGGAAATCCATTAGAATTTTCATTAGAAATTTGTTCAAGAAATTTAACTTCTTCTATTGGATCATCAGCTTCAGCTTGAACATGAACAGATTTAATTAAATGATAGGAAGCGTTTGTTGCATCACGAAGATAATCATTAAGTAGATAATCTCGTTTCAAACATTCAATATCACCAGCATAATGCCATGATGCACCACCTTCAGAAACCGGTCTTAACCATTTATATTTCGTAGGATTGGTTGGTGATAACGACCAAAGATGATGATGACTATCAACAATTTCAATGGCCATATGTTTTCTATTGATTAAAAAATATGTTACTTATACTTTACTTTTTCATATAAAAATAACACTACAAATCTGAATAAGATACGACCAATACCTTTCTGACAATGGAACCACCCGAACTCATCCGCATCGCTTGAGGGCGTATTTTGCTTATAAGGATGCATTAGTGAGACTTACAAACATTCAAAAGTGTTAGTCACATTGAGCCTTTAGATCCGAGCTATGATTGCTTTACGCAATTTTCAATACAACTTTATATATATGCCGAAAAATCAAAACTCTGAATTTCAATATAAAATTTTATCCACAGTTTGATCTAATGACCGAGAGAATATCTTGAAAGTTTCAGTCGAAAAGACTTTTTTTTGGCGATATATCGAGTTTTATATCATGCATGTCTCCATTGAGTAGTTATTTTGAACATTCGATATCTTGTCACAAAAATATTGTTTTTCGACTGAAACTGAGAATATTCTACAAACCATTCGATGTATCAATAGGCAGAATTTTACATCGAAATTTTGTTTTTTTTATCTGATTAATATATATATATATCTAAAGTCGAATAGGAAATTCAGTAAAGTGATCATAACTCAGCTCCAATGGCCAATGGAAACGAACTCTGTTAGCCTCTATCTAGTCTTATGTAGAGGGCTGCAGGTTACGCTATTTTGACAACCTGTAACCTGCCCTGTAAGTTTATTTCATAACCTTTAACCTGCCCTGCTCTGCCCTGTTTTCTTTAAAACTAAAGGAAATTCCAAACTTTCATATTAATTCATTATATAATTTCATATCAATTTCTTACAACCATGAAGCAAAAAACAACAACATTATATATCTCAAAAATTTCTAATCATCAAAATATCATCAACAATATCTGAATTTAAAAACTATCTTCTTTTTTCTAATATTCGATCTGATGAACTAAAAACACACTCCGATATTGATATGCATCTTCTCTTCGCACTCACACCCTATCAAGAGTTTTCTTGTTTTTTAGTGTATTTGATTCATCTAAACAATTTTTAAAATGATAGCTACTAGTAGAAGTTCCNAGTTACAAGTAGACCTATTCGTAGACGAAATTTCAGATCGAAATATCGTCATTCGATTTGTTAGCGTATACTATGCTATAGGCGAAAATTCCAGTAAAATGGCTATAACTCTGAACGAAAGGCCTATGGGTCCTTATCTTTTGGGGTTTTTTCATATCTTACTGGGATCTACCTTATGCACAGAGTTCAAACTCAAAACCGATTAATCACTTCGGGTACTTTCCTCGTTAGTTTCAAAAGTCCGAAGAATGTCCTACTCTAGAAAGGTTATACAGTATATCCAATCACGTTATTATCTATAGAAAAGTTCAAGTTTTTCTTGTGTAAATATTAATATTTGAACGTTCCTATGCTTAACATGTTACTTGTTTGATAGTGAAAATATCTTCGTCGAAAGATGTTGTGTATACATATATGATTAATATGACTGATTAATAAATCATTGTATGATCGATCATATTGTACACGATTACACTAATTAACTTATTTTTTAATCACATACGCTGAAGTGCATGTGACTTCACATCTTTTACATTCTATTAGAAATAGTCTTTTGAATTAGAATATTTGCAATCAATCATTATTTTTCTACACTCTATGTTAATAACTTAGAAATATTACGAATTTTTTTATATCAATATCATATACTGATGATAGTCAGTTTGAATCGTATCAATGGATGAAGACAAGTACTGCAATTATTTGTAAAGGAAAAACTTTATTGCAAAATATCAGATAAAGTTTGTTTAGATTGAGAATAAGTTAACATTTGAAAAGTATTAACCATAATAAAGCTAATACTGTTCTTCTTGATATAGCACTATGATAGAATCCTAAAATACTTTCTTTACGTACAAGAGTATCAAATACATGTCTACAATTTCCTCATTCAACCAGAAATCTTCTTATCATGTTTGATATATCTATAAATAATCAGTAATAAAATTTGTTTGACGAAATAGACAAGCTGAAAAATTAAACAAACTTAGACTACAATAATTTATTTCATTGATATATTTACCTGACATATAATCTATAAATAATAATTGTTAATAAATGAAAATTCATTTTATATTCTTTAACAATATTTTCTGCACAATTTGATTTTTAATTAAATCATATTGAATTTATAAAAACTAAAACTAAAGACATTCTAAATATGAAGAATTTACTCAAATCAAATAAATTAGCTGATACAAATTATCATATCATCTTACTTCTTTTTTTTGTACCAATTGATAAAAGTCAATCGTTCACATACATGCATATGACAAGAAGAATGAATCAATGAGGAACCAATTGAAAGTTGTCTATGACCTCTTCGCAGAAAAAAAAACACAGATGTCACTTCTATATTATCATTCGGATTGATGAACAATGAACAAGAGCACTTAAACAAACATGAAGGTGAAATGGAGTAGATGGAAATGAAGAGAAAATTAACACACGAATACGTTAATTGATCTTTCAATTGACGTCGTATTCTTTTTCCTTTTTTTTGTTTGCTTCACTTTTTGGTGCTGAACGTTCCAGTTTCTGTAAAATCTTTTCTTTTCAAAAGATGTATTTAATAATTTTCTCAACAAATGTCTTTCATGCAAAATGCAGAATCTGTTTTTTTTATTTAAGAGGAAAAACTCATTCCTGTGTTTGTGATTCAGTGTAGAACAAGTTTTAGTTCAATTATGTTCAAATACTTTATTGCTTTTGATAGAGTTAAAGCCGCAAGAGAAAATCTGGTAGATATGAGCCCTGTGTCCATAGAAAAGACTTCTATTTAGTAGAGAAACCAGAAAAAGTTTGTAGAACAGGGACTCATCTCTCGTCTGAAGTTGAAAAGTAAGTATTTCCTTCCCCTATAATATAGGATCGTACCATTTACAGAGGAGGCTTAGCTACTTTCTGACTCTGCTGCTCATTCTATTCAATAGTTGTTAAAGTAATATTATCCTTTGTATATCACATGAGTTCGAGCATACTTCATTGAGTTTGAAAATGCTTTCAAGCATTTAACCGATTGTTTATGAGTTACAAGAAAAAGAAAATTATGTTACGAATTCGTGATTGAATGTTATTTGCAACACATAGTCAAAGTAATTGTCAAATAAATTTTTTACTGGTCTCTGTTGGAAAAAGGTTCCTTTCGAAACGATAACAAAATGGCAGAGATATTGAGAAACTCATTTATTCTGTCACACTCGTTATAAATGCTAACGCTACATTGACAAACGAGCTATGAAGAATTTCCCAGAGATTCATTGTAAAACAAAAAAAATAAAATTTTGTTCCATTTTTCATGATTTGTGAACTACGACATTCTGCAAAATAAAGATTTAGTCTGTACTGAAAAGATTTACCATACGCTTTAAACATTAATATTAATCGTATTTTAAAAAGAGATAAAAATCGAATTTAAAATCACTATGAAACAAAAGTATTGTAAAGCAAAAACGCATTCACTTTCGTTCCAACAATCATAATCGATTGAAAATTTTATCAACTGTTCTGTGTAAGTAAAAAAACAAAATAAATGATACACAAATTTAATGATAATCTATTTACCAAATATTTTATGCAATTCTCTACAATAAAATTAAAATGATAAAAAATATCAAATACTTATAATAACAAATTTTCGTCGTCAAAAAAGATGACTAAAATACGTACAACCTATTATCAAGTATTTCAAATTAGACAAAAAATGATCATATATACCAAAAGCATTTACTTAGAAGCTCTGTCTTATTCTTAATCAAATCTACATTGACAAATAACTTTCTTTTGTACTCCGATAAGAAAACACCAACAAAAAAAAAATCAGAATATTTTCTAGGATTCCACATCTCTTTCCATTGTCAACACATAAGCCAAAATAGCATAAAGACCAACAATAAAATATGCTCCTCCTGGTAATGTATATGCCAAAGCCAAATTATTCGTTTTCACTGCGATTAAGCCCATCAATGGAGTAAATATAGCTCCACCAATAATTGCCATAACAAGAAGACAACTAGCTAATTTTGTTGTATGTCCACTCATACCTTTAATACCTAAAGCAAATATTGTTGGAAACATAAGCGACATAAAGAATGATGTAATAAAAAGTGTTACAAGTCCAATTATAGTTGGTACAAGAACAGTAATAAGAATAAGTATTACATTAATAAAAGCAAATGCAGCTAAAAGTATTGATGGTGAAAGTCCAAAATGCATAAGTAAAGCAGCTATAAGACGACCAAGTGCAAACATAACTAATGTACCAGTTAATAAATAACCACTAGTTTTTTCTCCAACTTGAACATAATCTTGAGCATATTGCATAAAATATGACCAAGTACCAACTTGTGCACCAACATAAGCAAATTGTGCAATAATAGAAAATAAAAATAAAGCTCGACAAAGAGTATTTACTCCATCAGATTCTTCATTTTTTTGACTTTTTTTTGTTTTTGTATTAGCTGGAAATGGTACAATAGCAATAAGTAAAGCAAATAAAAATGTTAAACCACCAATTACAGCATATGGTCGAACAACACGTAATGTTTCAGTTTTTAAATAATTATCATATGTTTTATTAAGACGCATTTGTTCAATTTGTTTTTCATTTAATTCAACACCAGAAAATATAAATAATGTTCCAATAAGTACACCTGTTATAGCACCTAATGGATTAAATGCTTGTGCTATATTAAGACGTTTTTCTGATGAATGCGCAGGTCCAGCTGCATTTGCTATAAATGGATTAGCTGCAGTTTCAAGAAAAGCTAAACCAGTTGCAATAATAAATAGAGAAATTAAAAATGATTCATATTTTCCTATATATGCTGCTGGCCAGAAAAAAAATGATCCAGTACCAAAAAGAATTAAACCAATAATGATACCAATTTTATAACCCCAACGACGAAGAACATAAGCTGCAGGTAAAGCCCATATAAAATAGCCCATATAAAAAGCTGATTGAACAAGACCAGCTTCAAATCTAGATAGAACAAAAGCTTTTGAAAATTGTCGAATAAGTACACCATTTAATTGATTTGGTACACCCCAAAGAAAGAAGAGAAATGTAACAAGAATAGTTGATAAGAATTGATATTTATTTTTAGATTTTGATGGTACTTCATAATTTATATGTTTATTTTCATTTAAAATAGGTTCAGTTTCAGGTGTTTCTTCAATATTTATTGTTTTTGAATGTTGATCAGCTATTGGAAGATTTTCATCAACAGTCTTATTATTGTTAAGAATAATTTGAGTAAGACTTGGATGTGATTCATTAAGAATTTTCGTAAATTTCATTGTTATGTTTTCACTAATACGATTGTCACTTAAATCAAGTGAAATCAATGTAGAATTTGTTCCAAGTGCATCAGCAATAAGTTNTTATATCTTTATTTTCATTTAAAATAGGTTCAGTTTCAGGTGTCTCTTCAATATTTATTGTTTTTGAATGTTGATCAGCTATTGGAAGATTTTCATCAACAGTCTTATTATTGTTAAGAATAATTTGAGTAAGACTTGGATGTGATTCATTAAGAATTTTCGTAAATTTCATTGCTATGTTTTCACTAATACGATTGTCACTTAAATCAAGTGAAATCAATGTAGAATTGGTTCCAAGTGCATCAGCAATAAGTTCTCCTCCAGCTGGTGAAATATCATCATTTGTAAGAGATAAATATTCTATAGTATTATTATGTTTAATAAGACTAGCAATAGTTGCAGCATCAATATTGTCTAAATTAGTCAATGTTAAATTTTGTATACTTTTATTTTTTTGTAAGCCTTCATTAAGAATATGATCAAATGAATAAACATGTAGAAGAACTGAATTAAAAGTTAATTCAATTAAATAAATTTGTTCACGTAAATATTTAGCTAAAATTTGAGCATCACTTTCATATAATTGAAGATCAATTAATGATAGACGACGTAAACGAGTATCGGTAAATATTGAAGTCCATAGAGATGGAATGATTTTTAAACGACCATTTGCACTTAATATAACATGAATATCTTCATTCGTATCTGATGAAGGTAATGCAATAGATGATGATGAAAAATTCTCACCGGATATTTGTATTTCAAGCATATTTTTCGTCTGCAACAAAAAAAAAATATAAAGAAACAAATATACACTTTTATGATGACTCTTTATTCGCCTGCTTTTTTTTTTTTTACTCTTGTCATAAGTCGACAACAACCTTGTAATAACGACAACACGCGTGTTTGCTATATAGAAGCATAGAAAAGAAAAAAATTTGTTTTAAAAGGATAGAAAAAGAAAAAAAGACCGTTAACTCTCGTTGTAAAGAGAAAAATAGACATATTCACGTAACTATTTTATATGAAAGAAGTATGAATAAATCTGATACTTGTTTGAAAATGATTCAATAAATATATAAATGTATTCTGCATCTGATTGAATGTTAGTGATGTAATACTAAATTAGTAGATTAATTCTAGATTCTTTTCATATATGAAATATTTTCTTTATTAAAACATCATTCTTATTTTAATAAACAATGTTTTTTGTTTTCTCAATGACAAACATTAAGACTATTTTGAAGCTTTTCTTTTTATAAAAAATGAATGTTTTCGAAATAAGAAAAACTGTTGATACTTATTACTTATCATAATTTTAAATTATGATAAGTAATATAAAATATTGTTTTCTATATGATATTATTCAGATTTGAATATTAGACTCTCAAGAATTTTAATACTTGTCATAGCTTTTTCAGAGAGATAACTTACATTTTTAATATCAATTAATAATCTTAAAAGTTTCAATCATGCATACATCGAACTCAAACTTTGACTTAATGTTCGGATTTGTGTTCGAGTATTACTAAACATTGTTGACTTGGTTTGGGAGGTCTGCAGACCTATTATAGGCCAGCCTGTAATCCTTTCTTGTGGCTTACTTCTGCTTCATTTTATTAATTAACTGAAAATGACTGCATTCAAGGACGAACCTGAATGTTCTAGTTCAACGGATGTTTAACTCAAATAACATTCCTGTCAATTTCATTAATTATTTTGAGCAAATAATATTTTTAACAAAAAGAAAAGTTTTGCACTTGAAATTTTACACGAAGAGACTCGGGTTATAATGTTAATCTATAATTTCGAACTCTATCAATTGTGATAAGAACAAAAAACCTTATAACTTTTATCGACAACATTTGATTGATAGACGGTATTGATTCTAACCATATTTATTTCTCTGTGTTTAACAAGTGAAATGTATTGTGTTTTTTATTATGATAAAATTTAACAGTTTGTTAGGATTTAATCACTTTAACTTCGTAGAAAATAATCAATGGATAGAATAGTCATTTGAGGGCTTGGAATATCTACAAAACTTCTTTGTATCTTGAATGAATGAAGCCTAATTCATGGAGACGATAATTCATTATAATGTCGGAAGTTTTTAAACGTGTTTTTATTATCATGGGATGATCAGAAAGTTTTACACACGATATTTGTTCACTTCTGATCTACTAAACAATACTTCCGATGAGTCAAAATTTATGATTTGAAATCAGAGTTTTGTGTTCTTTTTGAAGATGAGCTTAGAAATTTTGTTCGAGAAGTGAAAAAATTAGTTTGGACAAAAGATTTTTGTATTTTCACTATAGCGATTCGACATTAACAATTAGGATCTTTATTTATATATCAGTTTGTGAACCAGAAACTACCCGTAAAAATGTATTATTTGAAGTTCTTTTTGTGTTTCTATGAGATACTACACTTATCATTTTTTCTAGATACTCATTTTAAACAATCGACAACCGTTTAACGTTGAAAGGAGATCTTCAAAAAAAACAAATGCTTGTAGCCTCACTTGGGGGCGAGATAGTCAAACGTCGACAGCCTAAATGTCGATATGAAAAAAATGTTGAAAGTTCAAACGCAATACAGAATAGTGGCATAATCTTCGAGTGTGAGTGAGATTCCAGACAACACGAACATACCCACACTCTTATTTGAATCGAGTTCAATTTGATGTTTTTTTCCGTTTGTCGACGTCGTCTGCTATCGACAAATTGTACTGTCGTCATTCTTCTGTATCGACATTTTCTCTTATCGACTTTCTTTTCTGTGTCGGCATTTTGCTTTTCGACATTTATCTGTTGATCTTCCCACTGTGGACATTCGACTATTTTGTCTACTTGGAAACAAGTTACAGTTAAGTTAAATAGCAGTTTTTGTGGAGAAGTATGTGCTCTTTAGAAAAAATAAACACAACATATATTTTTAAAAAATTGCTAAATTCTGTTTCTAACATATAGTTTTCGACTCGTCGAAAATACTTTCTAGTGGGTCAAAAGTGAGCAAACATCTTGTCTAAAATCTTTTCCAATCAATCATTAATTTTAGTAATTCAAGCGTTCTTAAAATGTATTAATCCAATTGATAATGCTATCTTTTTTCTACAATAAAGCGCGTATTCCTGAAAGTTTCAAATATGAAAGAAAATCTTATTCGATTAAACCAATTCATGAGACAGAAGATAAAAAAATTCCACTGAACAACCAATCTGTCAAAACAAAACGTGGATAAAGTTAGCACCAGATTCGAGTTTTTGCTGTCCGGATTCGTTCGTGTACTTAAGTTATATTTCGTTCAACTTCAGTTAGGTGCAGAATTTTACGGCGAATCCGATGGTGTAATGACCAAGGGGGGTCATCGAGTAAAAATTAGCACTTGACCCCGACATACTGAATTTTTCAAAAGTTTTTTGAAAAGTATTTGCTGTCCGGATTCGTTATTTTACTTGAGTTGGGTCTAAAAATGGTTGAGTTGGATTCAGCATGAAATTCTGCATTGAATGATATCGATTCAGTATGGGGTCAACGGGAAAAATTTTTTTATATGGGTGAGGGGTAGCATGAGGGGGTGTGGGTGGGTGAGGTGAAAAATTTTTGCTCNGTAATTCAAAACCAAGAATTAAAGCATTGACTATAAGAAGAAAACCATAAATTTGAGTTTGTAAATGACGCCATTGAAAATATCGTAACCTAAAAATATAATAATTCATTTTTACTTTTGTTTTCTTTGTATCGAGATCTTCTCAATTATTTAAGTAAAAGTTTGAAAAATATTCTTTTGTAACAAAAACAAACGAGCTTACATGAAAAGAGTGCAGAAAAGTGATGGACCTTGTAAAATAACAAGTATATAAAATTTGATTTTTCGTTCGAATGATGATGTTATTGAACTATTTATATCGCCATTGACATCCCATGATGAATTGCTAGCATTCAATTCCATAACGAAACTTTGATTGTATTAACAGTTAACTCGACTTTTATTATAAAGAAGAGAAAAACACAACTTAGAAAAATTAGAAAATTAATTGCAAGATTATTTTTCTTTAGAATAAGAAGAATTATTTCTTTCACAGTAAGCAAGAATTTCAATGTCTAGCATAAATGCTAGTGACGTATTTTCTATTGAAATATATTAATTATATTAATCAAAAAACGGGTCACATTATAGATTCTTTGTGATTTAAGAACCAATCGAAGAAAATCGATTTACGGTATACTTATTTCTTACCAGTGTTATGCATTCCGTCATATTTATTGAAGAAAATTCTAACTAAGATTTTTTTTTTGTTAAATACTATTACATATTGTAGTTGTTAATTCTGTTAACTAATACTGTCTTAATTATGACACAAGTAGAAATATCTGCTTATCATATGACGTCATAATGCTCACTTTTTCTATCTCCTATTGAACAATAAATAAATGCAAAGGAAAAAATGTCACAAGAGTTTTTAATGAATGCATTTTGAACTACGGTAGAAGTTATTTAAAGTTGACGAAGGAAAAACACATTAAGACGGAGTAACTAAAAAAGCTTGCTAACGCAGCCCCTTCGGAACTGAAATGTGGAACTCACATATTTACTATTCGCTCATTATTTTTCAAAATTATAACTTGATCAATTTTGCAAAAAAAAATTCTACAAAGTCTGATGCCTATTATGCTCGGTTGCTAAGATCTGTAATGGGCGTTTGCGCTGCTAAGTGCCTTCAATGGGGAGGGAGTGGAGCTGCAGAAACTTGATCTTAAAACTTGTACTCACTATTTTCTTCAAAAATATATGTGAGTTCCACAAAAGACATCTTATTTTTATTTATAAATGTTTATCATGTGTGCAATGTATTACATTGAAACAGCACTAGTATCATGTCTTTCACAGGATCATAAATCGAATAGACAACAAAATATCTTTTCGATACATTGAAGTTCAAATAAGATAAAGTTATGGAAATACAAAAATCGAGTGGATTTTTTTCTCGTTCATTTGTATATAGTCTGAAAGAGTTTGACGAGCTGATTACGAATATATAGTATTTATCTTGATTTGACTGCTGCTTATATGTAAAACATCCTTAAAACATCGAATAAATAAGAATGTAGTATAGATAATCGTGAATCTGCGTTGTCGACAGAAAATGGCAAATTTCAACTGCTATTATATTACAAGCGCTTTGAAAATATTATTTTCTGAATCAGGATCAAACGCTGAGTAGAAGAATGTTCTTTAATTAGAAGTAGAACTAATAAGGTTAAGAAGTTATCGTCCATTATACTTAGCTTGACCATGCTCTTTAGTACGTATCTGTAATTATTCTTGTAACGCTATCTATTTTTTTTTTCAAATGAAAGATAAAAGCAAGCGCTTATCTCCTTAAATTTGCCGGATGATGAACTACAAAAGTAGTTATTTAGTTGTTTTTTTAGATACTGTTTTATCGTTGAGAAAATTGAACTTTGTTTTTATTAGTATATCTTAGTTGTAAAGTAAAATAGATAGATAGCATATTTGAAATCAGAGTTAAAAATTGCATCGAATCATATATATTTTAAGAATTTTATTTCCTACAGACGATCATCTCTTCGGGAGAGTAGGAGCAACTTTTTACAATAATAAACCTAAGATGAGCACAGGGGTATTTTTCATTCGAAATAGTTTTTACTGCAACATACGTGATGTGCTGTAGGTTTTGACACTGATTCGATATATGCTATCTATTTTGCTAAACAACTGAGTTTTGGCAATAAAAATCGC